TGTGTGTGTGTGTGTGTGTGTGTGTGTGTGTGTGTGTGTGTGTGTGTGTGTCTTGGCTCACAGTTTACAATGAGCTCAGTAAATATTTCCCTGGTGAGTTTATGGTCCCTATCTATTATTGGAAGCCTTGCTAAACAGAACATTAAGTTTTTTTAAATTATGGAGAAAAGAGAGAGACCTAAGTTTACTCAGAGCTGGAGAAAGATATTGGATCTATATATGATGTGTTTTGATAAATTATGTATTTTTCACTTTGTGAAGCATCCTGCAGAACAAACTACGGTATACTAACTCTGTGTTATTCAAATGTTGCATGAAAGTTCTGGGTAGTTTTGTTGCGGATGAACAGGTCAGTTTGTGTTAATGTGATGAATTCACAGTAAAGCTCGGTGTTGGACTGATGCACAGTGGCTGTGGTGCTCATGATCAGAGTTGGGTTGCATCAAGTGAAATAGAGATTCATTTAAAGCTGATGATCCTTAGATTAATTTACTAATTTCAATCGTTATACTGTGTCTAGTATAAAGACAATGTACAATATACTGTTAGTGAGAGAAACAGAAGTAAGCCGAGTTAGCTGTGAAGCATCTGCTTACATCTTGTTGAATCCAGCTGTGTAAATCCACAAAGAGCAACTGGTCTGCTGATCACAGCATGTACACTAAGAAAATCTACTAAAGCTTATTTCTGTCTAGCCCTGGAGGCCTAATGTACTAATATCATAGTTGTATTATATTAATGTAGCAGAAGGTCCAATTACATATGCAAAAAAATAGGTGGTAGAATTGTCCTTCAAGGAGATACTTTTTGCTTTCTTACTTTGAGTACACTTCAGAGCCTGTACTTTTTCACTTTTACTTGAGTAAAGACAGTGATTCAGCACTTAAACTTATTGGAGTATTTTTTAACACAGATCTCTGTACTTTGACTTAGGTGCAGAGTTTGTGTACTTTTGTCACCTATCACACCTGCTCATAAAATCCATCACTGGAACTGGAAAACACAAATATCTTGAATATTTTAACAGAACCCATCTGTAAAGGTTTAGCATCTGTTTTTGGTATATTGGTAACCATTATGGTGAATAAAAGTGCATCACACACCGATGCACTGATGTAAATTGCTATCAGATGAACTGCCGTTTTGTTCATTAACGCGAGGAAAGCGTTGACGAGGAGGAGCTTTATTTTGAAAGTAGTGGCCGGATGTTGTGTTTGGTGGGGATGATTTGACGCTGGGGAAGGCAGCGCTGCAGTGCGGACAAACAGCCTGGAGCCGGAGAACCTGACACCTGCAGACCGTCCCTGTCAGCCGAGCCGGGTTGTCCTGAGGCGGGTTTCGGGATCTGGTTTTGTCCTGAGTTGGAGTTTAGGATCACATCCAGGAGTAGGCAGAGAGGACCAGTCCGCATCATCCTCCTCCTCCTCCTCAGCTGATGCAGCGGAGAATCGGAGGAGGATCCGGACGTCAGCGTGGATTTTATTGAGCGTTCCGGGGCTCTGAGCGAAAATAAAGGCTGCTATTGTGTGTATGTGTGTTTTTTTTTTTTCATTTTAATTAATTAATGTATTAATTTATTTATTTATTTATTCTTTGGACTCTGCCTTGGATGGGACTAACGGTCTGAGGATGGACCGTGTCTGGTTTGATATGAGGCACCTTTGTAGAAGAAATAAATGGTAATTTAATCCTGCGGAACCCTGAGGCCCAAATTCTGGCCCCACGTAAGAGGAACGGTGGGTTTTCTGGATCAGGACGTTTTGTGCCGAAATAAAATCCCAGATGAAGATTCCCAAAAGGCGGAAAAGGAGCGGACGGTGCGCCAGGTAGGCCTGATCCGAACTAGCTCTCTCGGCCCATACAGAAATCATTCAGTGGGTGTGAGTGTTTCGCAGAGATACGCTATAACGAAAGTGGCATGATGGTAATTAGACCAGGACCGACGGGGGCTCTACAACTGTAATTATATTTATATTTAATTCAGAACTTGTCCAGGCCACATTGATTGATCAGCAGGATGTGATGGTGCGCATGCGCACGCAGCATCCATGACTGTGCACTGCAGAGAAGAGATATATACAGAGGGGGGGAAACGGGGTGGTAGTGGGGGGTTAGACCTAAGCGGAAGCTCCATTCAGTGTTTAAGTCATTTAGTCCAGGATTATTTTTCATAGCATAAAGAATATATATCTAGTGGTTGTTCTGTGAAGACCAAATATATATGAAAAACAAAAATAAAACGGTCTAATATAAAGACAATTTACAGTATGCTGTTAGCGACAGGAACGGAAGTCAGCCGAGATAGCTGTGCAGCATCTGCTTACATCTTGTATAAATCCACAAAGAGCAACTCGTCTGCTGATCACAGCATGTACACTAAGAAAATCTACTGGAGCTTGCATTAGAAATTATTGTGAGTTGTTGGTTATATTATTATATTTGTCTAGGTGTGGAGGCAAAGTCACTGTGCACTGCAGAGAAGAGATACACAGAGGGGAAAAGCACATGCTCGTAGTGGATGTTCTGTGAAGACCAAATATATATGAAAAGCAAAAAAGGCAGTTCTTGAGAAAAGAAACAGACCTGCACTCTTTGCATGTTTTATTAGACCAGGCTTGGCGAGAGCTGCCATCCCTCTCTATCACTGTCAGAGCTTTCCTTGCTAATGTAGTGTAATAAAACATAAGTTTCTTGTTTGTCTTAAACAGGTAATGCTGCCACCGCCTTTGGTAAATCTGTTTGGTCTTCAGAGGTCAAGAAACAAACAAATACTTTCAAAGCAAAATCTTTATTTGAAACATAATTCATTAAAATGACCATCTTTATTAGTCTTTATTCCACAATTTGCAGGTCTTTACCTCTCAGGACTCATACATAACACAGCAAGCACTCAAACTCAAAGAGCCAGTGTCAGCTTGCCTTGATAGCTGCTCTCCCATCGACTGATCAGCGGTTTATCCACAGTGAGCATGTGCAAATCACCAAAAGAAGCTGCTGGTCTCTCAGCTTGCTCAGCTGGAGACAGACATACCTGTAAAATGAAGACGGCTAAAGTTTACTATGAGTTTGAAACAGTCAGAGCTTTCAATGACAGTAGCTGACTGTGGCCACAAGATGCAATGTAAAGGATGGATGCAAACCATACAAGGAGCTCCATGACAGATGAAAGGAGAGAAACTGCTTTGACAAAACACGCTTGTCCTAGTGATATGCACAAGTGTCTTTAAAAGAAAAAGAAGAAAAAATATATATATATATAGTCGCAAAAGTATGACGTCACAACAAGGTGATTGGTCACTTGCAATGTTGAACCTGGAACAACATTTATTATGATGGTGTGGGAACAACACCGACACGAGGATATCAGATCGTGCATCTGTAGTCAGTCTTTTCATATTATTCATTTCATGTTGTCATGTAACTCTGTTTAGACTTGGGACATGCTTCTGCAGCACCATCTGCTCATAGAAACACTAAAGGTCCTGTTTAATCTCATGAAACTGTACTGTGATCTAATGTCATATTAACCTGAATACTTTAAGCTTAGTTTAAAAAATTCTGTATTGTCAGAAAACTCACAAAAGACACATCATCATCAATAGAATTCCTTGCAGGTGCAAAGAAAGTGTATGTTAATTGTTATACTGACTCTGTGAGGTGGACCTTTGGAGGTGCAGAAGTTCAAAATGCAGGAAACTGTAGCAGCTTATTAGCTATGTTCCACCATCATTTCCATTGTGAACTAATAGAGTTGCTAAAAGTTGTGTGAACCTTTTTCCAAACAAATTGTTTAAAAAAACAAAGGCAAAGGCTCGTGATTGCAACTGGCACAGCAAGAAGTACATTGTAACAGGAGTTTCTACCTTTTCTGTTGTCTATAGGGGCACATTGATAAATTACTCTGGGCTATACACTGTTTTCACTGTAGGAGTCTGAAAACAAAGTGCTTCCAAGTTTTTAGTCTATGAAGGGTTTAAAGTGCTGGAGTTGGAGAAAATTAAACAACCCACCACTGAGCAACATGACTGTTGTTATACATGGCTATACATTGTTGCAACCAGCAAGTGAACTTGGGACAAGATTGACACGGTAAATGAGTACAGTTTTTCGCATGTTAGATTATTTCGCTGCTTCAAGTTTTCAAGGTTAACATGGTGTATATAGGCCCTTTGTGCCCGACCCTCCTATTATGTCTGGTCAGAAGACTGCAGCACTCACTGCTTCTTCTCTCCTGGTTAACTGTACCCTCTGTTTTGGCTTGTAGGCTAACAAAGGAACAGGAAGGGTTTTGCCACACTCAGGATTTGTTGTAAATCTTAAGGTTTTCCAGGAGCTCAGAACTATGGTGAGCTCTGACCAATTTTATCCAACTCAGACTGGAATGATGCAAGCCCAGCTTCTGGCAGAGCACCCCTCCCTGTCCCACCCACTAGCAGATTAATAGAGCTGTAGGTGACGAAGGAAGAAAAAAAGATTGAGGTTTAATAAAAGGTCTGTCTCTCCAATCTGCTGCTGAGACGCTTGAAAACAGCACAGTTCTCTCTTTTACACTTATTTTCATGCCGCAGTGCAGATTATTAGTGTTAATGTAAATAGTTAAATGCTACGGCGAAAAAGTAAGACATAAGACAATGTTGTATCTATGACATATGATGGTACTACATGGTACTATTTGATAACTGGCTGGTGATAGTAACCTATTCAGATCATTCAACAATATCTGACAAAATAATAGTATAGCTTCATATAATAAATATAGCATAATGTAATTTACATATTTAAGATAATTGTACCAAATCTAAAGTATACCATAAATACTATACTAATTTATGCTTTGTATCCACTGTGCATCACATAGTGCTTTTGATAGTATATTTCCAAAATGGATTTTGTTACACATTGTCTGTTCTCATAGTCTGTAGCAATATATTTGACTATGGCACTATAATAACACGTAATGCATAGTATCGCAATTCTGATTGGCCATTTACTCTGCACTGTGCTTGCTGTCGTCCAAGACTATTCCAGTGTATCCGGGGAGACTGTGTGGTCCCACCCTCTGCAGTGATTGGCGGCTCAGCAGTGTGTTGAGGCCTGCAGCAGGTTTCCCTACCTCTCCAGTGTTACAGTGACTCCCAGCTGCCTGGTCTCTGTGGAGCTGCTGCTGTTAAACAGATCTGTATCACTGTAGGTGCAGAGAAGCCTCCTCCCCACCTTCCCAGTCTGTCCAGTTTTCTATCAGAGTTGGCCTGACTGAAAATGCAGTGGACACGCTCCCTTATTATCTGCAGTCCGCCTGAGCTCTGCATGCACTGATGAAAGCCCATGGCATTGCATGCAGAACAGCATGGTTTGGGGACTCACATGTATCACTCTGAACTTAAGATTTCTTCTATGGATCCACTGAAAGCTGATAACCATTCATGGCAGATATCCTGTATAAAAGCAGAGAAAAGCCAGAGTTCTGTTCAAGTTGAATGGCTGGAGAACACTAAGGTAATGGCTGACTACATGAATTAAGTTTTTGGCAGTGCCTATTAGACTGATGGTCAGTGAGCTGACAATATTTAACAGGGGAACCACATCCTCCAGTCACTACTGTTAATGAACTGTGTTGCCTAATTCAGACTTATCACCTCCTGAAGCAGTTCACAGCTTTGACAGTGCAACAATTCACTCAGCATCGATGAGTCCCTGCACTGTTTGTAGATCTGTCCCATTTGCAACGATCAAAGCATGGTTGAATCTTGCAACAATAACAGGTGATATTGTATCAAACAGACAAAAAGATCTGTAAGGATTTGTTTTTCCTGGAGTAGTTTTCTCAGGCAGCGCTCACTCCAAGGTTGTTTTGTGCCCAACAAGCTCCTTATGATCTTCCTAGTCTCATGAAACTGTTGCTAAGCTTAAACGCAAACACATCCGGCGCATTGTCAGATACCTCATTCCAATTGCGTGATTTATGGAGTTTTTGAGAGCAGTACTGCCAACCCTTATTTAATTTCCTAAGGTCAACTTGGATACTTTCTTTGAAAAAAAAAAGAGTTTTTTGACCCAAACAGTAAATCATGTTATTAGTAACTGCATTATAAATTATTCTGGCAGTCCTATATGTGTGTATGTGAGAGAGAATTAAACACAGAAGGTGAAATAGATAAGTTTTATAGATTCATTTTTATTACCTAAAAATGTCTATTACTCCAAATGTTAAAAGACCACTTAAAGTAATGCAGTTTGCACATATTTCTTAAAATTGAAGTGAAAAGTGTTCCCATGCCATACTCGTGGTTGTTAGTATTTTTTGTTGATTAAATCCATTTTGTTCTGATCTACAGTAAACATTGCAAGGTGTTGGCTGTTGGGCTGTTGCAGCATCTGACCTGCAGCTGCAGTCAGGATAAGAATAGAGCATTAGACTGCTTCCTCTGCAGACATGATATTTGCTCCAGTTACTGCAAATACCATCACACCATATGTCCGTGTAGGTTCTTAGTCATCCAGGTCATGGTAGTCTTCAGAGCTTGAGAAAACAAGGCAACTGGACCGCTTTAGGTTTGCAAAGATGTTTCCCCTCTCTTCTGAGAGAACTAAAGAAGCTTCTTGGAGAGGTAAAACATCTTCTCAAACCTAAAAAGTCCAGTTGCCTTTTTTTCTCAGGGTCTCAAGATCACGCCATACCCAACCCCTCTTGCACCCCGCACCCCACTGACCTGTACCCTGATCCAGCTGAAGAATGGCTTCTAATGGCAACCAGCCACCTCTAATGCCTGTTGTTATACGAATAATATAATAATGTTGCCATGACTGTCAGCAGCAGAGAGCTCTGGTTAGACTGGGAAAATCCCGGTAACAACATTGTGTGTATAAAGTATTGACTGTCTTTTCTTACTTCCTTTTTCTCCTCTCATCCTCCCTGCTCACAGATAAATGGCTCTTTTAAGTTGGGAGCTGCTCGTGTTCTGTCTAGCTGGCAGATGCAGTGCCTAGTCCCTGGCCTCCAGGACAACGCCAACATGAACGGAACATCCGAGCAGGCCGACATCCTGCCTCCAAACTGCATGGTCAAGGATCGATGGAAAGTGGTGAGTCTGGAAAGCTCCCATTCCCCCAGTTCAGTTTCACGTTCTGCAGTAGTGCGTTTGAAAGATTTGGGTGTCTGATTTCCCCCATACAATTTTGTATTTATATTTTCTTAGCTGGTATGCATATTTGTTAACTGTTTGCTATCTATTCTGATTTCATCCAAACCTTCTTTCCCCCAAAATTTTAAATATAAATAAAACAGAATCCAATCCTATATTCAGCAGTACAAGGCAAATGTTAAACTATGCATGTAGCATTTTGCATTACATTTTATTTGCTTAGTACTTGGGAGCTGAGGAGACCAGCAAGAATTAGAAGCAAAACATCACGTATGATTTAAATGTAAGCTTTTTCCATGTGTGAACGATACATGATACACAGTAAACCATTTTTAAACAAATTGTATCCTTTGTTCTGATTTTATTTTCATACAAAAATGTCTGTATCAGGATCAGAATATGTTCTGTTGTTCTGGTTGTGATAAAAAAAAATGAAATCCCAAAGAAAAACACAAATCCTTTATAGACGATATTAAAAAGATGAGATGACTGTCGAATCACTGATGCCTCATGTTCAGCTAAATAAATTGACATTTAAACTGGCAAAGAATTCAAACATTTAAACTCGAGGGTTTAGTGGAAAGACAAACTTTTTTTTTAATTTTCTGTTTGAGCTTCCTTTGGATTCTGAAGTACAAGGTTGCTCGTGTCTCAGCCAGTCAGGTTGCAAAATGAAGGCTGTTTGCACTTTACTAATCAATCTACTGTCTCCACTGAGCTGCAAAGACCCAACACATCATGAACTAAAGATAAAAAAGAATGAAGAATGAAGTCTTTTTGGAGGTTACAGTATGAACCTTTAAGATAATTAAGAGCTCTTTGCCCTGCAACCTGTGTTCCAGCTAAAGAAGATTGGCGGGGGTGGGTTTGGGGAGATCTATGAAGCCTTGGACTTGCTTACGCGAGAAAATGTGGCCCTAAAAGTGGAGTCAGCCCAGCAGCCCAAACAGGTGCTAAAGATGGAGGTGGCAGTGCTGAAGAAGCTGCAAGGTAAGCGCTGCCAAACCATCTCCTACACTGATTGCTTTGGGCCAGTGGTCCACAGTGGAAGTGATTAGGTTTAATTATTAGGAAAACCATAACTGACTGCAAAGACGTTGTTTATACAAGCTTCCAGTTGTGGAATTGTTAGTGAGTAGAATTCAAGAATGTTTTTTAGGTCCAACTTTCAGAGTGTGATTGAGCCCCTTTGATCTTCATCACATAAGGTGTTTTTAGCAGCAGGGCGGTGATCTTTCAAGAGTCTTTGTCTTGTAACCCTCGTATGCTGCTACATTCCCTCTTCTGCTTCACACTTGGTTGTCTTGGACTTGTGTTTCACTTTGTTCCTCTGATTTTCTGTGAACTGTTACCAGTACATCTACAAGCTGGCACTGAAGTGGCAGGTGAAGTGGTGGGAATGGGAATTAGTCCCTCCAAGTCTGAGGCCATAGTCTAAGCCAAGAAAGGGTGGGGTCCCCACTTCAGCTCAAGGACAAATTGCCTCCCCAGTTTAAGTTGTGTCGTGGGTGTCGCGTGTGTCCTGTGTCATGAGACACAATCTCTGTGGCGTGTCGGACGGCTTTTTGTAACTTGTGCATTGTGTTGCAGTCGTCGCAGCTGGCTTGAAGACACAAGTGTATGATCATCCTGCCTATTTAATCAGAATCCTGCTCCAAAGCTCAAAGAAATACTGACACACAGAGAGATAAGGCAACAGTTTGAAAACCTGAGTTTGTGGAAACACTTGACTTCTGCTCCTCCTTATCAGCACGTATGACGTGATATTGTCTGAGTGGCGACAACTATTGTCTACTGAATACTTAAACATCCGAGTGATAATGGTGCGTTTTTAACAAAGCGATCACTGTGGAGGGTGTATTGGCACTTTTATAATCTCTGAAAAATAGGATAGCCCTTTATTGTGATTGCATATGTTCAACAAAATTTGGGTGTTCCACACTAACTGTGCAGATATTAAATATGAATAGTAAACAGCAGGTTTAAAAAAAAACACGAGAAACATACACAAATATATTTCTCACTGCTCACCGCCACACCTGCATTGCACAGATGCAGCCATTTATACCCGCTATTAAGGTGCAGGAAGCCTCTGTTGTATTCTCCTAAACAATAGGTGTTGCCACTCAGACAATATCGTACGCACTGATGAGGAGAAGTCAAAACTAGAAGCCAAGACTTTGTCAAGTGTTATTTTGTAAAGTTCTCTCCACAAACTCAGGTTGTTCTGTTTTTAATTTATTTTTTCAGTGTTTATTTGATAGAAAGAGTAAAGAGTGACGGGAAAGTGGAGGGGGAGAGAGAGGGTAAGGCATGCAGCAAAGGGCTGCGGGTCAGATTTGAACCTGGGGAGGCTACTCCCAGCCGCACGGCATGTAGGCACCTGCTCGTCGCAGTGAGTTAAACCAGCACCCACAAACTCAAGTTTTTAAACAGTTGGAATGTCCTCCCCTTAGTGTTAGTATGTCTCTGAGCTTCTGTGCAAGATTCTCAGTAAACACACGATTATACACCCATTGTGTCTATTGTGTCTAGCAACACAGGATTTGATGTGAAAATTACACCACTACACAAGCAATGTGGCGAGCATAAAAATGGCCTTACGTTGGTCTGCTGTGGTGATGAGGGAATTAAGCATAAAAGCGTAGCTGTTGATTTACTGATCAGTGTGCATTCCTACCCTCCACTGTGGTCGCAAGCTTTGGCTAGAGCTTTCTCCGAAGTGTGGCTGGCAAAGAGGATGAGAGGGGCTCAAAATAGAGGCACTATTCCTCCACATTGAAGGAAGCCAGTTAAGGTGGGTCGCATATCTGATATAGATGGGCACCTCCTGGGTCAGGAGCTTTAGGCACGGGAGAGTAAATCTCTCAACTGGCCCAAATAACGTGGAGGAAATGGCTATTGAAACATAAAATAGATACATCTCTGAAAGAATTTAATCCAATATGTAATTTTCAGGGTGCTAAATATATAAGTCTTTGTAAATCTGATTAGTTTAGTAGAACAATATTTGTTTCGTTGAAGTTGTGGTACATTAGGAAAGTGTTTATTAGCCCCCTCTCTCTTCTTTTTCCCTTCCAGGGAAAAACCATGTTTGTAAGTTTATTGGCTGTGGGAGAAACGACAAATTCAACTATGTCGTCATGCAGCTTCAGGTGAGTCACTGTCTGGATGCATGTCAACCACAGTCTTTTACTGGGAAGCATAACAGTGTAGAGGGACACATAACACACAGTAATAAGGTAGATTATTGCTTTAGCATTTAAAAAATTCTGCTTTGAGGAAGCACAACAGGAGGAAGTCTTCATTTGCTGTCATGTTAAGATCTACCAAATGTATAGGTTTTGCAGTCTTAAAAAAACCTTTAATTCAATTCAATTCAATTCATTTCAATTCAATTCAATTCAATTTTATTTATATAGCGCCAAATCACAACAAAAGTCGCCTCAAGGCGCTTCATAGATACAGAGAAAAACCCAACAATCATATGACCGCCTATGAGCAAGCACTTTGGTGACAGTGGGAAGGAAAAACTCCCTTTTAACAGGAAGAAACCTCCAGCAGAACCAGGCTCAGGGAGGGGCGGGGCCATCTGCTGTGACCGGTTGGGGTGAGAGAACCTGCTGGAGTGCAATTACATTAATATAACCCCTGCTTCAAGGATTCAGCATTTGGTATTATGACTTCCTGCAATGTAACCAGAAAAAATACATAAAATAATGAGGATAAGTGTAATTGACCTTTAATAAAGTCATAGCCAGAATGCAAACAGATGAATTTACTGGTGACCACCTTTTAATGTTGCCTTTGCTGATAACAGCACAGAACAGTCCCAATTTATTTGAACCTGGTGTATTTCTCATTACTGTTGCCACTGTGTCTCCTATGAGTCATATCCAGTTTTGCATTTTCCACGTTATTATTAGATTACTTTTTTGAAACCTGATCTTTACACATTTCAGCCTGACTAAAAGCAAGCAGAAATTAAGTCCCGCTGTCTTGTCACTGTCCCTCACCCAGGGTCGTAACCTGGCTGACCTGCGAAGGAGTCAACCCAGAGGAACCTTTACCATGAGTACCACCCTGAGACTTGGGAAGCAGATCCTGGAATCCATTGAAGCCATCCACTCAGTGGGCTTTCTGCACCGCGACATCAAACCGGTACAGGTTTCTTGAAAAATTCTGCAACCTTGTGCTTCTCCTATAGACTGAGTTCCTGAGTTAAAAGTGATTTTAGGTAGAGATTATTTACTGATATTAACTTTTGATTTTTCTTGCCCGGATGTGTCAAAATGGTAATGAATGCTTTTCCCCTAAGCTATAGTTTTCTGCAGGCCAAATATAGGCGAGTCCATGAGCTGGTTGAGCATAGTTTCTGTAATACCAGTAGAACAGTCCAAATGTCTGCAATTTGGTAACAATTTAATATAAGTAGCTGAAAGTTTCTCAATTTAAAACGTCTATCTGGTGAACTTTGATACTTTAGATCTTTAGGTAATCTAAATATCAAAGCAAGCCAATAAAACCAGAACAGAAGGGGTGTTAATAGGATGTCGGATGAATAGATTTTTATGTAAATGAGCAGAGGTAGAACCAAAGTTAGAGGACCCATATATCCTTCACGTTTCTTGTGTGCAGATGCTTTTAGATTAAACTAGTTGAGTGATGCACTGTGTTTTATTTCTGCAGTCAAACTTTGCAATGGGACGGCTCCCCTCCACCTACAGGAAATGCTACATGCTGGACTTTGGTCTGGCAAGGCAGTACACCAATACCACAGGAGAGGTCCGCCCGGTAAGACACTTAGTCTGTGAAAGCGAACCGTACCAAAAGCTGAAGCACAGCACTGAAGCTCATCTATTACAGTGGAGATATTGTTGGAGAGAATATTTGTAACTCAAGGTTCATTTGCTAGTTTTTGCTAGTGTTTTTTCAAAGAACAGCAATTATTATAATAAAGTCACTAGAGGTTTGGAGAATGTATGGAGAATTATTCATGTGTATTGGATGTTAGGGAAAAAAAAAATCAGAGGTAGGACATATATCCTTATTTTGACTCTGCGTATACTCCAAACCTAAACCTAAACAACATAGTAAAATAATTTCTCAAGTATCTTTTTTTTTTTTAGCGTTTTCTTACAACTTTGTTATTTAATTTCTTATTGTGGTCCTATACACAACACATATGTCATTTCTTTCTGTGTTAGGATTCAACTTTATTGTCATTACACAGGTATAAATACAGGGTAACAAAATACAGTATGCATCTAATCACAAGTGCAAGAGCAGTGAGTGCAATAGGAGCAGATTATATGCCGATAAGGGTAGTATAAAAGGTGGGAATAGTTATGAACCGATTATGTACAAATAAGTCAAGTACACAGATGCTTATGTTGCTATATAGAGAGCAAATGTACAGATGTAGTTATGTATACATATGTACAGATATGTACAGATGATCTGTATAGCATACAGACGGACAGATATACAGATGTATCAATGTGTGGTAAATATATGTACAGTAGTGGGAGTATGGTGCTATGAACAGACTATAATAGTGAACAGTGTACGCACTATAACAGAGACTATGCTATATCAGTGTCCTAAACTATAGCAGTAACCAATATGAGATAGTTTCCTTTAAAGCTGCAAAAAATACCAAAGTAAATAATAAAAAACTACACAGGTGCACAGACTCAGGCAGACAAATGGGTGTGTTTGCTGCACTGCAGTACATTCTCTCTCATTTCCTGTGAGTCTGTACAATATCGGATCAATGATTCGCAGTACTCAATAACAAATCTCAGGGATTCATGTGATAGTTTGCTGTAAACTGACAGAAGTGGTTGTTGGGCTTCTAAACAGCTTTTGTATCGATCAGGTCTCTTGGTATTTGTAGTTTCAGTGTGATCAGACACAGCTGCTGCTTTTAGGCTCTCTCTTGCTTTTTTGTCTCTCTACCACACTCAACACAGCTATTTTTAGATCAGCGAGTATGTATAGTGCTTCCATTTGCTGTCAGCTTGCTCCTCGTCACTTTATCTCCTTACTTTCATTTTTTTCTCTTTTCCTCCTCTCCTCATCCTTTTATGGGCCCTTCTTCCTTACCTCTCCTCACCTATTCATCTTTTAACCAGCTCCCCTGTTCTTCTCCTGCAGTGTTGTGTTCCTTCTGTTGCAGCAGTCAATGAATATTTGATGCTGTAAAATGCGTCACTGGGTGAGAAACGTTAGCCCCCCCCACACACTTTCTCTCTGTCACTTCCAGTCTCTCCACCCATCATCTTTTGTCTCCCAGTCTCTCTCTCTCATTCTACAGCTGAGTCAGCTTCAGTGCAGTGATCCGAGCTCGCTCTTTCTCACTTGATTCACCCCTCCCCCACTGTATCTTCCTGCCTTGCTTCCTTCTTTCCCCATTACCCCCCTCTCTTTAACCAGTCTCATTGACTACAACATGATGGTAATTTTGTAAATCATGGTACCCTATAATTTCCAGATTTGGGGGTTGGTGTACCTGTTAAGTTGCTACCGTATGCTTGTAGTATCTCTTGGTTTCTAAGTCAGAGCTACCCTTCCTATCTGGTTTCATAACACCCAGAAGACAACAACAAAAAACACTTAGCTGAGACTTCACCTACTTACAAATGCAGTGTATGAAGTACACTCAGTAATTTCTCAAAAGTGTCATTATTGTTTGCAACAGCTCTTGTGTGTCCAACACTCATTGTGGGACTGTTAGCAGAAAGTTGTCATCACATCTTTTTTAGCCAGACCTACCATACATTAATTTTCAAAAATTTGACACTTGATCTGAAAGTGAACATATCCTGATGAAACACATGCTCAGCAGATACAAACAGCAGCCTGAATCTGTTCTTACAATTTGCACGTATCAGCACAAGCTTTATTTTTTCATCTTGACTGTTGAGGTTGCTACGTAGTGACAAAATTTTTCACTTGCGGTATTTGGAAACTAAAGTATGTTGAGTGAAGTCCTCTGTAGAATGAACCGGTTGTCCAGTGAAGCAACCTGTCCAGCTGCTTGTGGATCAGGTCACTCTTTACTGTGAAATTTTGTATGATGTTCACTCTCTACTGATCACCTGCCATCAGTTTTTTTTTTATCAAGGATTTATGTTCTGATTTTTTTCTTGTTTTCTTCTTATCAGTTCAATGTGATTTATGTTCACCTTTTTTATGTTTCAGTGTTGTGTTTGTCTTTCTTACAGTTCCTTTGGATTTATGATTTTGACGTGCATGCCTCCTGTTTCTCCATCATCTCCATGGTTACCCAGGGATGTGAGTGGTTTCTATAGTGACAGATGGGTCACAGCCACATCGAAAGCTACGCACCAAAGTGAAAGCTGAATTAAAAAAGAAAAGGAGCAAACATGACATAATGTCTACTAAGAGTTTTCTAAAATCCACATATAAAAATAATCATGATCGTTACAATAACTGTAATGAACTGTGAATGTGCTAGAAGCCCTATCAGAAAATGGTCTGGCAGCACAGAGAATTTAGGCACTAAATTATACAACTTGTACTTGAAAGTGAAATTCAGATTTGATTTTTGTCCGGGAAAAAAAACCCTAGATGGTGGACAAAAACCTAAGTATACGGTAAGTCAGTTCTATAAACTAAAAAAAGGACACAATATAAATTGTTTTTTCAAATTTATGTAGGTCATGAAGCCATCATGAAATTTCTGTTTTTATGGGTATTTTAATTTGTGTATTTCTACTTGTATTTATCCATGAGTTTCCCTCCCATGTAAGGTAGGACATTATTAAAAGAGAAAATATCATGTAGATTTTATGTAGATAACAAATTTTTGCACATACATGCAAACTTTGATGGGCTCGTCAGTGATATTTGAGGGTTCAATATCTTCCCCAAGGACACTTTGACATATAGACAGCAGGAGTTCCATCTTCTGAGTAGAAAACAACCTGTTCTAGATCATGAGAAATAAAAAACCAAGAAAATTTGTGACTGCCATAGATGACAATTGAGTCAGTGAGTAGTATAATGGGCCCATCCAGGAGTTGTGACTGAAACAACTGATAATACAACACATAGTACAACGTGAACTACTAAATCCTATGTCCCTTTCTGCAAATTGCTAACAAAAATGTCAGGGTAGTTTCAGACTTCGACAGTTGACTTCTACTTATTTAAATGTGTATAATTTAAAACTTAGACATTCATAAAAAAAGAGTGTAGTTCACTTTACGTTTTTGTTAACAAGTAGCTTGAAAATGGTCACTGTATTGAATTTTTAAATGTTAAATGGACTTTTATCCACCTGTCAAGTACAGTGGTGTGAAAAAGGTGTTTGCCCCTTTCCTGTTTTCTTCTTTTTGTCACACTTAAATGTTTCAGATTGTCAACAAAAAAAAAAAATAAGACAACGATAACATCAGTAAACATAAAATGCAGTATCTAAATGAAGGTGTTTATTATTAGGGGGAAAAAATCTAAACCTAAATGGCCCTGCTTGAAAACTTGGTTGGGCTGCTCTTAGCAGCAACAACTGCAACGAGCAATTGTGATAACTGGCATCAAGTCTTTTACAGCACTGTGGAGGAATTCTGTCCCACTCATCTTTGCACAACTGTTGTATTCCAGCCACACTGGAGGGTTTTCGACTATGAACCACCTTTTTAAGGTCATGCCACAGCATCTTACCTGGAGGTCATGACTAGGCCATTCCAAAGTCTTCATTTTGTTTTTCTTAAGCTTTTGTGTTTTGGCTGGTTTGCTTTTGGATCATCAGGCAGAACCCAAGTGCGCTTCACCTTGAGGTTACAAACAGATGACCAGACATTGCCCTTCAGGATATTTTAGTAGACAGCAGAATTAATGTTTCCATTTATCACAGCAAGTCTTCCAGATCCTGAGGAAGCAAAACATCCTCAGACCATCACCACCATATTTTACTATCGGTATGATGTTCCTTTTCTGAAATGCTGCATTACTTTTATGCCAGATATTTGTCATATCAGTCCACAGAGTATATTCCCAAAAGTCTTAGGGATCATCAACATGTTTTCTGGCAAAACTGAGACAAGCCTTTGTGTTCCTTTTGCTTAGCAGTGGTTTTCGTCTTGGAACTCAAATGGCCACAAAGGCCATTTCTGCCCAGTGTCTTTCTTATGGTGGAGTCATGGACGCTGACCTTAACTGAGGCAAGCGAGGCCTTTAGTTCTTTGGATGTTGTTCTGGGATCATTTGTGACCTCTTGGATGAGTTGTCATTGCGCTTCTGGGGTAATTTTGGTTGGCTGTATACTCCTGGGAAGGTTCACCACTGGTCCGTGTTTTTGCCATTTGTGGATAATGGCCCTGACTGTGTTTGGTTGGAGTCCCACAGCTTTAGAAATGGCTTTAAAACCTTTTCTGGGCTGAAAGCTCTCAGTTACTTTGTTTCTCATTTGTTCCTGAATTTTTTTGGATTGTGGCATGATGTCTGGCTTTTGGGGAGCTTTGGTCTACTCCACTTTGTCAGGCAGGTCCTTTTTAAATTGATTTCTTGATTGAGAACAGGTGTGGCAGTAATCAGGGCTCAGTATGTCTAGAACAACTCAACTTAGCTTTCCAAAGATGTGATATAGATTTTTATTCTGACATTTCAGAATTATACAAAAAGGCCCTTTTCAGGGAACACAAAATGGGTTAACAATTTAAAGCTGTTCCGCAGCAATGGAGTTGATCAAGCCTTAAAAGCTGGTGCTACTAATTCCTACAGGTGTTGTAATTTTTCTAGATTACTTACAACCCCCTCTGTCTGTATAAAAGCAGTGGTGGAACACACTGTGGTACCATACCCTTGTGAGCTTTAGTTGAACAATATTGTACGGCAAAAAGTAGTGTGTTGCCACAAAGATGTCAAGAAAAAGAAAATTAACAATGGAAGAGAGACAGACCATCATAGCACTTAAAAGAGTATGTCTTTTCTACAGAGAAATTGCAAATAAAGTCAAGGTGTCAGTGAGTACAGTTTCCTTCATCATCCAAAGGCACTCAGAAACAAACTGGCAGCAAGAGGTCTGACAGACCCAAAGACACAACTGATTCAGAGGACAGCTTGTTTGATAGGTGGCTCGCAGGACAACAGCTTTGAGCACAGCATAATAGTGGTCGTATAAGCAAGTCTCAGTTTCAACTGTGAAAATAAGACTTCAAGCTGTAGGTTTGACAGGATGAGTTGCAGCAAGAGAGCCATTGCTAAGACGTGAGAATAAAACAAAGGGACATGCCTGGACACCGCCATTGGACTACTGAAGACTGGAAGAAAGTATTATGGAGGGATGAATCAAAATTTGAAATCTTTGATTCATCATTCAGGATCTTTGTACACCGTCGAGTAAGCGTGAGGATGGTTCCACAGTGTGTGGCATCAACTGCCAAATGAAGGAAGGAGGAAGTGTGATGATCTGGGGCTGTTTTGCTGGATCCAGGGTCAGTGACTTGTACAAAGTGAAAGGCACCCTGAACCAAAACAGCTACCGCAGCATTCTGCAGCGCCATGCAGTACCCTCTGGTATGCACCTAGTTGGTCAGGGGTTCATCCTACAGCAAGATAATGACCCAAAGCTATACCAGAACTACCTCAGGAAGAAATAACATAATGGTGAGCTTGAAAACATGAAGTGGCAGCACAGTCTCCAGACTTGAACCCCATCGAGCTGGTTTGGGATGAACTGGATGGAAGAGTGAAAGCAAAGCAACAGACAAGGTCCACATTTATGGGAACTTCTGCAACAGATATGGGAACAACTTTCTGAAGAATATTTGATTTCTATTGTAGAAAGAATGCCACGGGTGTGTTCAGCTGTTATAGCTGCCAAAGGTGGCTGCTTTGATGAGTCAAAGTTTAGAATATATTTTGGTCTATAAATTGATTCCATGATTTCTTTTTTAACTCCAATTGCTTATTTGTACTATGCTTTCATTTCAGAGTGCAACGGGCCAATACACTGCATAGTTTTCAATAAAAAATTGGAAAAACTTGTGTGTTCTTAAACTTTCGTCCTGTAGTGTAGGTTTGGATTTTTTTGACTCTTAACAATAAACACCTTAATTTAGAAACTGCATTTTGCATTTATTTCTCTTATCCTTCTAATTAATTGCTTTTTCATGTCACTGTATTAAGTTATCGGCTAGTAGGTGTCTTGCTTCTGTGTGGCAGAAGCAAGTACTTTTTTATGGTGAGACTAAAGGCCCTTTTCACAGCGGATGTCTGAAATCTCAAAAATTGAATGTGTCAAGAATATTTTTCAGGCTCACCAAGTCAAGTATTCTTACTCATTAACACCACCAACACAAATTTGTGGCATTTATTTTTTCGAACCAAATCGATTTTTCCAATTTTTTGGGATACCAATGAATAGATCTGACTAAGATCACTGTATTTGGCAACAAGTGCACTAATAGCACAAATCTTGCACCTTTACTGAGTATACAAAGGATATGGTAATAGTAAAATGATACAATTGTGTTCCCAAATCTGCTAAAAAGACTTCAAACTGCCTCTCTGACATCCTGAAATATGTACGAATGCAGCTCCAATTCTGGGATCAAACCATAATATTCTCTAGCAGCCGCCCTCTTGTGGGAACTGGATGAACCCAGAATATCAGTTTGTTCCTTTTCTCGTTTAGGAACATCAGGACCAGTTCGTTATCCCTTCATCACAACTTCATTTTTTTCTGTCTGTTTTTGAGGACGAATTTTACACACGCATATATGCACCTTTGGTGTGTATATGGGTTACATGGGAAGATCCGTAAAATTTGGAATTTCATGTTGTTTTACACAACAAATTCAGTGTGCCTTTAGACTAACTGTCCAATAAATGTATAGATAGAAAAGTACATAAAGCAATTTATTAATTGATGTAAATCTAGACTCAAAGTTGAGTCATAAAAATGATTAAAAGTTAATTGTGTCTTTTTAAAAATGTATTTTTTATCTCATATAGTTATTTATATAAACATATATACATAGATAAAGGCATTACGCAATCTACATATAATATCCAAATGCATAACCAGATTTTAACACTACTATTAAGAATAGGTCATAAAAAACAGCCCAAAAAACAAATTTGAATAATATTAAAGTGCAATTATGTAAATTGATACTTGCGTGTGCAGATCTCTCTGATGCAGTGTGTTCGTCTGCTGGTGTCTTTGTGTCTTATTTTGCTTATTTTTCTTTTGATGTCAGAAACACGTGTATAACGATCACATTGATGTTAAACAAGATTGCATCTGTTTCTTTCTAAAGCTCCTGTACTACAGAGTTATGTTGACACTGGGTTGAATGTTTGATGCTATATATCCACTTGATCGTTTTGTTTACAAGTTACATGTTTTTAATGATTTATTTTGTCACAATACTTACAGTTTATTTTCATGCCAACACATAGGGTATGCTATGTGTTGATATATGTCTATTGGGGTGCCCAAATTTATGCACCTGTCTAATTTTGTTATGATGCATATTGTATGTTAATCCAATAAACTTTATGTTATTGGTGAATCACTACTTTTTCCATAGGGAATGACATATATTAAAAGGAAGCCAATCACCCAATGATAAACACAAATTCAAAAATAAATAAATAAGAGAGATTCCCAATCTTTTTCATATTAGTGTAACTGGATGTGAACTGGATGCATGTTGTTGCAACTGCTGACTTTTTTGCATCCTCTTTTTAGCCAAGAACTGTGGCAGGTTTTAGAGGGACCGTCCGCTACGCTTCAGTCAATGCTCACAAAAACAAGGTCAGTACTGTTTGTTTGTCTTTAAAGTATAACCTCTGAGTTGGCTGCAGAGTTGGTGGTGAGCCTCTTGTACCTAGAAATGGTGCAAGAGGCTGGGAGAAGCAACATGGATTTGTGAGGTAGAAGTTACCACTCTACCATCTACTGAAGAACACACTGTGGTAGAGGACCTTGGTACTCCCTAGCCCAGAGCTCTCAGTTCAAGTGCATGAGACAGATCATTCTGCTCCTTTTTATTGATAAACAAATATAACAAATATACAGATCAAATTGCCATCGTTGTTCTATATTTCTATATTTATATTTTTGTAGGAATTTTGCCTTTTTGCAGTTTTAATGATTATGCTCCTGAACACACAGCCAATGTGCAGATTTTGTTTACAAAAGTTGCTTCATACTTGTGAAAGATAAATGCAACTTAAGCTAGTCTGATTTGATACTGAAACACCTAACCTTAATGCAATAAATATTCCATTAGATTACCTGTCACCCCACAACACCGTCTTAATTAGCGATTTTAATGACACAAGTCAGAATGTGAACATTCTGTTTAGAATGTTATGCTAACAATGTCTTCCTGCTGTGATCCTCCAGGAAATGGGTCGCCATGATGACCTTTGGTCATTGTTTTACATGCTGGTGGAGTTTGCTGTTGGGCAGCTGCCTTGGAGAAAGATCAAGGATAAGGTCAGAAGGTTTCTTGTTTCTAGTTTTTATGAGATGAGATAGCCTTTGTATCCACCTTAGTTACTATTACTTGTTTTGGTAGTCCCTCTATGAATCATACAAGGTGTTAAACATATTTAACATTTTGTCCTGCTTCTTTAAATACATCTATGTTTTAAAAACGTCTGTCTGTGAGCTTACATTATCCAAAAAGCAGTCAGAATTTGATCTGTTTTGATCAATGTATATATATA